GGCGTGGTGCAGCGGGAGCTGCCGCTCTGTGACTCGGGTGGAAGGCCGGGTGACTCACCCCGACGTCTTTATCAGGGCTTGTTTGCTCTCGGCCCGGCGCACCGACCCTTGGCTACACCCGCCCACGGTTAGGCTGAGCCACTTCTCCGTGGAGCCGCGCGGGCCCAGCGTGCGCCCGGGAAGGTCTCTGCGTCTCTGTTAGAGAGGAGAAAACCGTCCGAGAGAGATGCCGGGGTTTTAGCCTCTCGCAGGGTCCTGTGAAAGTGAGTATGAATTACTACCTGATGATTCACGGCGGCTTTGCAGAACTCGATGCTTGGGGCAACTGATTCAGGGACTAGTGTGCTAAGACCTGTTCGGTAAGACTCTTGCCTTCCCCCCAGTGTGTGAAGCCAAAATTGATATCGGGAGCGTAAAAACCCACGGAGCATGGAGGTGGCTGCAGGCGAGGGAGACCTTTGTTAATATTAGAGTTTTAAACGATTGACCAGTATATTGTCTGTTCAAGGCATAGAGTTCGTTCACAAATTTTGGGTCACCTGAGCTCTTATTTGTAATTGGATATTTTTTTTCTTAAAGAGAATTATTTGTTTAATTTTATTTGTTATTATTTTTATTTTATTATTATTATTATTTTTGGAGATGTTTTTGCTATAGGGCGCGTGCTCTCGCCAGAAAGACAGAGAGACAGAGAGACAGAAGGGGAGAAATCACCCCCCAGGGGGGATGTCCGCGCCGCAACCCCTTCTCCTCCATTCTCCTCTCGGGATCTTGGGCACGCAAGCACAGGCCTCTAGTGTGAGTTTAAGCCACCGGATCCGGGACTCGCAGCGCGGTCGGCTATTCAGCGATGGGTAACCATTATGCCATCTGCTGGTCCCATTATTATTATTTTTAAATTTGACCAAAGAGACAGAGAGAGAGAAAGAGAGAAAGTGAGAAATCAAGTCACCAGGTCTGGGACTCAGACCACATGCTTGGCCATGTGAGAGTAGAACGCCTTAACCACCACTCCACCTGCCAGCCCCAAGGATGCCAGCGTTTTAATGATTAACTTAAACACTAATCCGTTTATTACAATACATATGAAAGAATAATACTGAAAAATTTGAACAGATACAGAAAAATATAAGTCCCCCCAAAAGTAAATTGTAACTCTACCAGTTAAAAAAGATACTGGGAGGGGTCAGCAGGTGGCATAGTGGTTAATACTCTGACTTCCCACATGGTTGACTGCAGTTGGAATCCCCGACCCCAGGGCTTGAAACGCACACCCATCTTGTGTGCATTCGCAAAATCCCAAGAGGAGATTGGAATAGAAGGGATAACGGGTGGCCATCCCCTCTGGGGAGTGATTTATTTCTTTTTCTTTGCAGAGGTTTTTGCTATAGGGCGAGTGCGCTTGCTAGACAGACAGAGAGAGACAGAGAGATAGAAAGCGAGAAATCACCCCCCAGGGGGGATGGCCACGCTGCAATCCCTTCTCCATTCTCCTCTTGGGATCTTGGGCACGCACACACACGCACCCGGCATGAGTCTAAGCCACCAGGTCCGGGACTCGAACAGCGGTCGACTACGTGGGAGTCCAGCGACATAGCCATTACGCTAACTGCTGGTTCCAGGAGTGATTTATTTCTTTATCTCTCTCAGTCTCTGCAGTGAGCCCACGTGTGCTGTAGCAAAAATCTCTCTTAAAAAACAAAACAAAACAAAACCTGGAAGGGCAGCCCATGGGATGGGAGTGCAGGCACCTGAATGCCACATGGCTTGCTGTGGGGTCAAGCCCTGGACCTAGAGGTCTAAAAACCATACCCAGTGTCTGGGACCAGCAGTTGGCGTAATGGCTAAAATTCTTGTATGTAGTTGACTGTGGTTCGAGTCCCGGACCTGGTGGCTTAAACTCACGCCGGGCGCGTGTGTGCGTGCCCAGGATCCCGAGAGGAGAATGGAGGAGAAGGAATTGTGGTGTGGCCATCCCCCCTGGGGGGTGATTTCTCACTTTCTGTCTCTCTGTCTCTCTCTTTCTGGTGAGCACACGCCCTATAGCAAAAAACCTCTCAAAAAAAAAAAAAAAATCCCAGTGTCTGTATGTGTTCCCAAAACCCAGGAGGGAGAGTTGGAGGAGAGAGATTCTCCATGGGTTGTGGGGGCGGTTTCTCAATGTTTATCTCTCCTGCAAGCACAAGCAATCTGGCAAAAAAAGAAAGGAAAACCAAACCTATTACATTGCCTTGTTTGCTAGTTTATTTATATTGTAGCAGGTCACTGTGTCCTCTCTCTTTCTCAAGGGCCCCACTGGGGTGTGGCCATACCGTAATCCTTTTCTTCCATTTCTCCATCCTGTCAGGATCCTGGGTGCCCAGCCACCCTCAGGGACATACACTGACTTTGTGGGATCTGGCTCCGTTAACCAGTGCTGTGTGGAGCTGGCGTCTGCCTGGTTTTACTTTCTTGCCTATTAGAACTATAAAGCTTTTTCCGTTTTCAGAAAAAAGAAATACACATTCAGAGTAACAAATGTTTCTTGGGCATCTTTGTTCCAAGTCCTGGGCAAGGCAGTCAGCAGGCGTTTTCCTAGGAAGCACATTGTTTTGCATCAAGGTGGCATTCAAACATGCATCCCTAATGTTTTTCTGCATATATTGTTGTTAAGCACCCATGAAGCGTTTAAAGGGAGTGTGAGAATTATAAATGGAAACCTAGAGTGGAAAAGCACTGCAGGGGAGCTTGTTAGAGAGGCCACGGGCAGACATGCAGGTAGTTAGGTGCAGTATTCTGGAGGCCATGATAAGAAGGGAGTGTCCCTCACACAGCTCAGTAAGGATAATGGAGAAACCTCCCTGTCCTGGCATTTAGTTCTGAGCGTAAAGTCTTACGTGTGTGCTCCATAAAGATGCAGAGGAGACCCCTAGAATGGAAGTGGGAGTGACTCCTCAGTGCCATCCTGTGATACACTAGTGTATGTTCTGGGCCAGCCAGTGGTGTGCCTTCTAAGGTGGCTGGATCCTACAGGGCCAACTGCATGGTTTGAGTCCCAAACCTGGTGTCTTGAGAAACACAGGGGGCATGTGTGCATGCGTGCCCAAATCCTGAAAGGAAAGATGGAGTGGAAGGGATTGTAGAGTGACCCTTGTCATCCTGCACCCCTGTCTTTTGGTCAGCATGCACACCCACTAGCAAATTAAATAAAAAATAGTGCACGTTCTCAGTGCATTTCCTAACATGACAGGTTGTGGTTGTAATTTTCCTTTTCGTCAGTGTTGCAGGAAACCCTTGGATGCTAAGACCCAGTGATCACATGTACTACTGTTGGATGGCTAAGGCTTTTCAGGGTTAAATTTAGATTGTATAACGGGGTAAGTGGACTTCAAGTTCAGATATTCTGTAAATATTTCTGTCAAAGGTTGTTGATCGGGGCTGCTCCTATGGCCTAGTGGTTAAGGGAACCAGATCTCATACGAACAACTACGTGCTTCAAATCCCAGCCCCAGTGGCTTGAAAAACACACCAGGCATGCATGCCTGTGTACCTCAAATCCCAGAAGGATGGAGAAATGGAGAAGGGATAGCATCCTGACTGAGCTCCCTCCACTTCTGTCTGTCTCATTTTGGCCAGGATATGTGCCCTCTGCTCATAAAACAATAACAAAAACAAAACAAAACAAACAAACAAAAAATTATTGATGGTTTTGCAGCACTTGAAGATGAAATCAAGTGGGAAGGTTTATTTTATGTTGTGTACTATGGTAGGGAGGTAGGCTTGATGTTTTAGTGAAAATGAAAGAACCCTTGGGATCAGCAGGTGGTGTAATGGTCACATTGCTGGACTCCCACATGGCTGACCGCTATTTGAGTCCCAGACCTGGAAGCTTGAAACTCACACCAGGTACGTGTGCGTGTGTGCTCAAAATCCGGAGAGGAGAATGGAGGAGAAGGGGTTGTGGCATGGCCATCCCCCCCGGGGGCGAGGGTGATTTCTCACTTTCCGACTTTCTGGCGAGAACATGCACCCTACAGCGGAAATCTCTCTCTTTAAAAAAAAAAAAAAGAAAAGAAAATTAAATAACCCCAATGGCCATTCTATCTATATAGTTATATAGGTCTACAGGAAACTAAACTTTGTCCTCTAAAATGAGTTCTTAGTTTACTTCAAGATGTGAACTAATTGATAATTCTGTAGATTATTTTGGCCTCATAGTTTTTTTCTTTCAATAGTGGCATAATTGAGATATAATTCACATACTATGCAATTCACCTGCTTTAAGTGCACAATGCTCTGGTTGTTAGTATAGAGGGAACTTCAAAAAATTCATAGAAAAATGGAATTAAAGTGTGAATTTATTTTGGTGCGGAAAGTTTTGAAATCTACACACAATATTTTTCATGATACACGGTTTCTTTTTGTTAAATGGTTATTTTATTTAACATTTATTTATATACTTATTTTATTTTGAGCAGAGAGGGACAGAGGGACAGGGATAGAGAGAGAGAGAGAGAGAGAGAAAGAGAGAGAGAGAGAGAGAGAGAGAGAAAGTGAGAAAGCAAGCCACCAGGTCAAGGATTTGAACCACGGTTGGCCGAGTGGGAGTCCAGCACCCGTAACTACCACACCACTTGCTGGCCCACATTTTCTTTCTTGTTTTTTTTTTTTTTTTTTTTTTTTAAAAAAAACTTGCCAGAAGGTGTATGTACTTACCAGAAAGAGAAAGAGAGATAACATCCCCGAATGGGCCATGGTTATGCCATAGTCCCTACTCTTTTTCTCTACTCTTTGAACTGTGTGGTAAGCCAAGTGGGATACAGTTTCCTTAAGTATTAGGCCATGGAGTTGCCCCGTAATACACGTTTTCTGGAACTTTTTAAAGACCCTCTCTCATACAGTCACACAATTCTGCAAATCGGGTCTCCTTCCAAAGAGCCGATATTCCTTTACAGTCATTCTGCATCCACAGGGAGACTCAAAAAGTTCAATTCTTTTTTTTTTTTCCCCTAGAAAAATATTATTATTTTTATTTATTTAATTTTAGAGGTTTTTGCCTTAAGGTGCCTATGCTTGTGGGGTGTAGGGGTGGGGTGGGGAGAGACAGAGACAGAGACTGTGAGAGGAAAGTGAAAAATCACCCTCCTGGGGGGATGGCCATGCTGCTTGCAACCCTGCTCCTCTATTTTCCCGGGATCTTGGCCATGCATGCACACGTGCCCAGTGTGAATTTCAAGCCACCAGGTCTGGGACTTGAACCAAGATCGACCCTGTGGGAGTCCAGCGACATAACTGCTACACCATCTGCTGGCCCCAGATTATTTTACTAGTTACAAAACGTGGCTTTTTAGTTTTTTTTTTTTTTTTTCTTTTAACAGAATCAGTATAAAAAAGCCATTCATTTCTCCATAATCATGATAGTTACTTATATTTGAGGTCTTGGCTAAGTGGGGCTGAAATAGACCAGAAGTCTTGGATTGTTGGCTCAGAAATCTTAGGAAGCCTGCCATGCTTAGCTCTTATGAGATGATCTGGTCCTTTAAAAAAAGTATCTTTCTTTTTTAAAAAGAACTATTTAATTCTCTCTTTATATATTTTTATTAATTTATTTTTAATTTGACCAGAGAGAGACAGAGAGAGAGAGAGAGAAAGTGAGAAAGCAAGACACAGGGTCTGGGACTAGAACCATGATCAGCCATGTGGGAGTGTCCAGTGCCTTAACCACCATGCCACCTGCTGATCTCCTAATTCTATATTTTTAAATAATTATTTTATTTTACTTTATTTATTTTAATTTGATCGGAGAGGAACAGAGCAAGAGAGAGAGAGAGAGAGAGAGCACCAGGTCCAGGATTTGAACCACAGTTCACCATGTGGGAGCCCACGCCACCTGCCAGCCCCTCTTTAATTCTATTTTATTACTATTATTATTTTTTAACTTGACCTAAAAGAGAGCAAGAGAGATGGAAAGAGAGAAAGAAAGCCGCCAGGCCTGGGTCTCGAACTGCAGCTGGCCATGTGGGAATACAACACCTTTAATTACCACGCCACCTGCCTGATGTATATCTTTTTTTCTTTCTTCATTCTTTGGAGGCTTAAAGTGAATTCAGCAGCGTTCATGAAACACCTTCCAGCTTTTGTCATTTACTACTTCTTCCACGTTCAATTCTGACTGCATCCATTTCAACTGCTCTTTTCTAAGCTGCTTTAATGTTAACTGATTCAATTATTTTTCTCTCTTTTCGGAGGCTTTTTACTACTGCTGAGGTCTGGGCTGTACAGTTTTTTATGACTCTGTCCGTGCTGGGATGAGCTGCCATCGAAGACTCATAAAGTTGTTTACAGGTTTGGCTGGCATCAGTTTTCCCTGCAAAGGAAGCTGTTGGAACTGTAGTGTGTAATTCACGTTCTACTCTGCCATCAATTGTCCTCATCACCCTGAGTCATTCCTGGAACTTGTGAACTCTTCACAGTTCACACTGCCACTGGGCACCACTGCATCGTTAACTTATTATTTTTAAATTTGCTATTAGGGTGTGTTTGCTTGCCAGAGAGAAAAAGCGAGAGGGAGAGAGAAAGTGAGAAAGCACCCCCAGAGCGAATGACTGCTGCAGTCCTTCTCCATTTTCTCTTTAAAAAAAAAAAAAGTATTCATTTTCTTTATTATTATTATTTTAAAGTTTGCTACAGGGCATATGCACTAACCAGAGAGAGAGAGGAAATGAGAAAGCGAGCTGCTGGGTCCAGGACTCAAACTGCAATCAGCTGTGTGGGAATCCAGTGCCTTCACCACCACGCCACCTGCCCCCCCCCCCCCAATTTTCTTTTTGGGATTTTGGGCACGTCTGCCCACACTCCAGGTGTGCTTTGCTAAGCCACGGAGTCAGGATTCAAATCCCGCAGTCAACCACGTGGGATCCGGCTGCCTTAACTACGTATGATGCCGCCAGCTGTCCCTTGTAGGTTTTTTTTCTTTTTTTCTTTTTTTTAAACACCCATTCTTATACTTCCACTAAGCTTTCCAGGCATCTGTTTTAGTAGATGAGGAAGTCAAGAGCTCACAGGGTCACTCATAGCTGTTTAGGTCGGTATTCTAGTTCCGTATTATGTCCCTCCATAGGAGACAAAGAGACTATTGAACTATTAAAGTTCACTATCCTTCTCTCTCTCTCTTTTTTTTTTTTTTCTTTTAGGTTTTTGCCATAGGGGAAATGCACTTGCCAGAGAGAGAGAGAGAGAGAGAGAAGGAAGGTGGGACATCACTCCCCAAGGAGGTTGGCCACGCTGCAATCTCTTGTCCTCTCTTCTTTTGATTTTAGGTATGCACACACATGCCCCTGGCATGAGTTCCAAGCTTTCCAGCCCAGAACTCGAACCATGATTGGCCATGTGGGAGTCCAGCACCTGAACCACACCCGCCTGCTGGCCCCCAGAGTATCCACATTTTAAGTGTTCTGAAGTCCCACGCGTCTTGGGGCTGCTGTTTTGGTTAGCGTAGGTCTAGGACATTAAGTTGATATGCTGTTGGAAGTTCACTGGGAGGGCACCTTTCTTGTTCTTAGGACAAGTATTCGGAGATGTGTTTCTTGCTTGGAATAAGTAAGAACGTGCTTCTAGTACCCGAGTGTTCTTAATAAATGTCAAGGAACACAATGGCAGGAAGGGCGTGTCAAGGACCACAGTGGCAGGAGGGGCGGGACCCGGGGGTTTTGGTGCCCCTGCCGTGACCAGGGACATCTACGGGACCTGACCTGGCTCTGGGTTCCGCAAATCTTCCCATCTGACTTGGGTTTGTAATTTTAACGATCCTTATCTCTGTTCCATAACATGGAGATAATGTTGATGGTGGTATAATATGAAATATATTTGATCTTTGTCCCCATTCCTGTCACTAAGGTCCAGAAATCCATGGAATTTCCTGAGAGCTGTCATTCACAATGAACCCCTCTACTTGCCCCTGAATTTATTCTCCTGAGGTGGTTTAGGGTGAGGTTCTAGGTAGTCTTTGAAGGGGGCGAGGCCCTAGGTAGCCTTTGGGAGGGGCTGGCCTCGCAGTGATTAGAGGTTTGGAACTGGTAGCCCCACTCATGATCTCTGGGAAGGGGCTGATACTGGGGGCTGTACACCAAGCCTGTTAGGACTCTTGGACAGTGAGATTTGATGAGATTCGATGAGATTCTGGTGATGTGTGCTTCTAGGAGGGTGGGCACCCCCATTTCCCAGGCTCAGAAGCTCCTGCCCTGGGGACCCTTGCAAACCTGGCCCTGTGTTCCTCTTCGTCTGATTTGTTCATTTGTGTTCCTTATAAAACCTGTCGTACACAGGTAAACCTTTCCCAGCGCTGCGGAGTGGCGCTGGCAAGTTAATCCAACTCCAGATGGGGGTCGTGGGAATCCTGGTTAGTTAGAGCCGGCGTCCACACTGTCGGTGACCACGTTCTTTGGGACTGGTGTTTGAAGAGAAGGTGATGGTGCTGTCTTTGGGGACTGAGTCCTTAGCTGCTGGGATCTCACTGGAGATCGCAGCAGGACTGAACTGGCTCAGAGGACACTTGACAGGTGTCCCTGGAGAACTGCTGGGGGTGTGGGGAAGCCCCAGTACCTCTGGTCACAGAAGTGTGTACTTGTGGGAGTATAGCAGGAAATGGACGGGTGTGTGGTCCTCTAGTCATGCTTCAGACTGTGAGGCAATTTTTAGTTAAAAGTCGATGCTATTGGGTCAGCCCGTGGCCTGTGATTAAGGTAGCTGGATTCCACATGGCTGACCACGTGGTTCCAATCCTGAGCCTGGCAGCTTGGAAAACATACTGGGCTGCATGCACTTGCCAGAAAGACAGAGACAGAAAGCGAGAAATCACTCCCCTGGAGGGATGGCCACCCTGCAATCCCTTCTCCATTCTCCCCTTGGGCACGCACACATACATGCCCAGCGCCAGTTTAACCCACTGGGTCCAGGACTTGAACTGCGCTCAACCACATGGGAGTCCAGCGACATAGCCATTACGCCAACTGCTGGTCCTTCCCCACCCCATGCGTTTTTAAGAGCAAAATTGGGGCAGAGGTCCCAGGCCCATGATCAGTTCAGTGATTGGTTCAGAGAAGACATGATCATCTCCTGGGCATTCTTGATTGGTGAGGCCTTAGGTAATCAAATTCCTCTTCCTGATTCTGGAGCCCTTTAGCCTGGGGTTTTGAGCTCAGCCAGCAGTTTCCAGCCTGCGAAACACCTTACATAGTGAAGTGAAAACCTTATTTTTCCTTTAAGTCAGAGTTTAGAGGTCAAATGGCCCTCACTCATGGTCCATGTTGGTCATTATCATAACCAAAGTCTAAAGACTTACTCCTCACTCTGGGCCATTACAGATGTAAATAATCTTATATTTCAAGAACCTTAGGAAATACAATAGGGGGTCTTTGCTCGGTTTCATAATCATGGACACCCTTTAGGATTCTGTGGAGCGCATTTACACGTGCATTTATTTTACACCTTGGTGTATGTGTGTCGCAGGGTAGTTCTATCGGATTTTGACTCACGGTGCTGTTGTCCCCTCTGAGTTTCTTCTCGTAATAAGTCTCAGTGGCTGGTTGCGGTGATGAGTGTTGGGTTGGAAACTGGGAGGGACAGGGTACTACCCAAAGTGTAGGAGATATGTTTCAGACGGGGGGAGAAGGACCTAGTGCGGTGTAGCTTCAGGTGAGTTCTGAGAGGCTCAGCTCGAGCTCTACCCCAAAGCCTCCTGGGGATGGCCTCCCTCCACACCCTTCCCTTTGCCTTTATCTTTTTCTTCTCAGCTTGGCCTTTGCCAAATCCTCTTGGCAAAGTCCCCTTGGGGGCCTCAGGATTCCAAAATGCTCTCATCACTTCTCTCCTGGTGCCTTGAGAAGGAAGGAGAGAAAGGGCGAAGACCCCTCCCAGGGCTCCTTATCTGCCCCAGCCCCAGGCCTTGACTACTTTTATTTAGATATATTGGCCTTCCAGTCCTTTCCTGTTTGCACGTAAATGGATTTTTCTGTGGTTCCAGTGAGCCTGAAGCAAAGCCATTATTATTTACTCTTGCCCTTTGCCCTTGTTCTTCCCAAACTTAGGCAGGGTTTTTTGGAACCCAGTGTAACTACGAAGTCCTCACTAACCCTCTGCTGGTTAGCTGTCTGGAAAGAAGGGGCCTCCTGCCTGCTGGAGGCCAGCACCTTCCCACCGGCCACCCTGCAGCTGCCTGGGGCGGAGGCGAGAGCTCTGTCGACTGTGTATTGACGGTGTATTCCTGGCAGCCCTGGTAAGTACCTGAGCACACTTTTTCTTACCAGCCTGGTTCTGTTTCTGTTTTCATAGTTTGGGAGCGTGTCTGTCTGGGAGTGTGTAGGAGAACAATGCGGAGAGATACTCACGGCATCATGGGCTGTGGAGGAGGGGGACAGTGCAGTGTCCCCATGTTGGCTTTTGGCTTGTTATAGTGGTCTCTTATCTGGTCTCTTACAGAATTAGAGTGATACTGTCTTTTTTTTGGGGGGGAGAGGTTTTTGCTATAGGGCACGTGCGCTTGCCAGAAAGACAGAGACAGACAGAAAGTGAGAAATCACCCAACAGGGGGGGATGGCCACGCCGTGCCACGCCGCAATCCCTTCTCCTCCATTCTCCTCTGGGGATCTTGGGGCACATGCACACACACCTGGCATGAGTTTAAGCCACCGAGTCTGGGACTCTAACCGCAGTCGACTACATGGGAGTCCAGCAACATAGCCATTACGCCAACTGCTGGTCCCAAGTGATCCTTTTTTTTTTTCTTTAAGAATTTTATTTATATTTCTTTATTCATTCTAATTTGACCAGAGAGGAAGAGAAAGATGTTAAGTGAGAAAGCAAGGCGCCAGGTCCAGGACTTGAACCGCTGTCAAGCATGTGGGAGTCCAGGGCTCTTAACCACCACGCCACCTGCCGGCCCCTAGAGTGATCCCTTTATACACACTTTCAATTCAGAATGAAAGCCCAAGCTCTTATCCTGTTCAGGTTGGAGACAGGTCCGGCTCTAGTGTCCATCTGATCTGACCTTCTGGGCTATGGCCTCCCTCCTTCTTTAGCCTCAGGGCTGTTTGTAGACCAGCCATGGGACTTGGTCTACTCGCTTGGATAGCCACCCCATGGCCTGATGGGGATGGCCTTTCCTCCACACCCTTCCCTTTGCCTTTATCTTTTTCTTCTCAGCAGTGTTGACTGTCACTTTTCATATGTAATCTCCTTGATGGTAGGGGCGTGTCTCTGGCCCTGTAGGCTCTAGTGCCTGCCAGTTATATAAGCCTAGCGGGCTTGGAGGGAGACTGAGTAATTCCTCCAAGGCTGCAAGGCTTAAGGGCAATACGGTCTAGGAGGGTTACCTGGCGTTTTATGGGCAGCCTTGGGAACTGAACATCTCAGTTTCTGCAGGGAAACTGCTGACGGAGTTGCAGATAACATGATGAAAATTGGAGGTAAAACGCCCGCAAAAATTTCACTTTTGGTCTTAATCACTGCCACAGCACTCTTGCTCTGTACAATTATTTGGTTTGCAATTTGACTACATATTTCCTGGGCTGGTTTTCTATCACAGATTAAAAAAGTAACTTGGGGAAAATTCTTGGCAAATGTTGTGGGAATATAAAATGAAAAAATAATCATGTGGAGTTTTAGGTTTATTCATGTTTATCTAGAGAGGATTCAGATGAAGTTGACAAAGGGGTGTTGAACTACTTAGCTGTCAGAATCTGTAGTAGGAGAGGGGATTTCTTCCGGCGTGATAGAAATAAACCTGTATCTTGATTGTGGTTGGTTGTATTAGTGCATACTCTTTTTTTCTTTCCTTTTTTTTTTTTTAAATTTGTCAGCGTTCTCGTGCACTCACGGGGTGGGAAGATGGGGTTGAAGAAAGAAAGAAAGCATCCCCATGGTGGGGGTGGTTGGTCACAGCAGTCTCTTCTCGCTTTCTCCCTCCTGTCTGTTTTTATTGTCTCTTACAATGCCTGGTGTGGCTTTGAAGTCTCGGGGCCCTGAATGCAGCTGCACAGTTGGCCATGCGGGATCCAGCCGCCTTCACCACCATGTTGTGGAATGGCGTCGGTGATGTCCATGTTCTTGGCATTAGGGACGAAGAATCGAACCAAACATGCCAGTAGTGAAAAGAAAAGGTAGTTTATTAAGTAAAAGCAGGTCTACACTCCTGAGAGGTAGGTGTGGGCCTACACGGACAGGAAGGGTGGTGGCTCAAAAGGGCCTGGCAGTTGCATTCTGCGAGGCTTACTATTTTTATTTTATTTTATTTTTTTAAGAATTATTTTAATTTGGGGCCAACAAGTGGTGTGGTGGTTGAGAGCACTGGGCTCTCGCATGGCTGACTGCAGTTTGAGTCCCAGACCTGGCGACTTGCTTTCTCTCTCTCTCCCCGCCCCTGTCCATCTCTGGTCTAAAATACATTAAAAAAAATACTAATGTTTAAAAAATTAAAAAAAAAGAATTATTTTAATTTCACTTTATTATTATTATTATTTTCCAGTTTGATGAGAGAAAGTAAAAAAGCAAGCCACCAGGTCTAGGACTTGAACCGTGGTCAGCCATGTGGGGAGTTCAGCGCCCTTAATTACCACGCCACCTGCCAACCCCAAAGCTTACCATTTTTATATCTAGGTCGTGTCGGTTGATCATTGCTGTGGATTGTTCTCATCTCATTGGCTCGATCTAATGTGGCTGGGCCCATGGGTTCATCTTATTGGCTCTATCAAGTGTGGTGGGACTCACTGATTTATCTCATTGGCAATATCAAATGTGGCGTCAGCTAGACATCCCCCACTGTTCCCCTGCCTACTTCACGTTGGGCAGGGAATATTTTGCCTTGAAATTTTTTTTGAAAATCTAACCACATAGGATGTTCCAACCCCCTACCCACTTCCATTTGTTAGTTTTCTCCTGCCTTACTACCATGCCATGGGCTGGCCCCTTCTGACTTTTTTAAACCAGAAAGATGATATAATATGTGAGACACTATGTAATTAAAATTTAAATTTTACACCATTCTTCCCTCCCATCAGGATTTTGGGCAGGCACAGAGGCCCCTATTTTGGGGTGGTATCTTGGCTGGCCATGTGGGCTCTGGCTCCTTATGCATGAGGTCTAACCTAAGCCACAGAGATGGCTCATAAAATTGCTTTATGTATAATGTTACCCAGGAGGGGAAAAGAAATCTTATGGAAGTAACAGGTGTTACCCAGGAGGGGAAAAGAAATCTTATGGGAACAAGTCTAGACCTGTGTTTTCCAATGTAGTGGGTTCCATTATGTGACTATTTGAATTTAACTGAATTGAAATGAACATCAAAAATTTAGTTTCCTGGGCCAGCAGGTGGCGTGGTAGTTGGGTCACCAGAGTCGCACATGGCTGACAGCAGTTCCTGAACCTGGTGGCTTGTTTTCTCACCACCCCCTATCCCCCTTTGGTGAGTGCACACGCCCTGTAACAAATTAATAATAATAATACTGAACCGTGGTGAGTGCACACACCCTGTAACAAATTAAATAATAATAATACTGAGACAGAGCAAGGACCCCCTAATGTATTTCCTAAGGTTCTTGAAATATAAGGTCCATTTACATTGTAATGGCCCAGAGTAAGAAGTAAGTCTTATGATAATGACTAACACTGGACCATGAGTGAGGGCCATTTGACTTCTGAAACTCTCACTTTAAGAAAAGATAAGGTTTTCATTTCACTATGTAAGGTGTTTTGTAGACTGGAAACTGCTGGCTGTGAGCTCAAAGACCCCAGACTGAAGGGCTCCAGACACCTGAAGAGAAATTGATTATCTAAGGCCTCACCAAGAATGCCCAGGAGATGGTCATGTCTTCTTGACCCAATCATGCACCTGGGACCTCTGTCCCTAATTTTACCCTTAAAAACGCATGTGGGGAACATCTCAGGGAGACCGGGGCTTTGCAGCATGAGCTGCCCGCTCTCCTTGCTTTGCGCTTTGCAATAAAGCTGTACTTTCCTTTCATCACACCATGTGCCTATCGCTTGGTTTTATAGCGCTTGGGCCAGTGAACCTGATTTGAGTTCAGTAACAATACCAAGTAAAGTTTAATCAATAATTTAAAAATTTGTTTCTGGGACCAGCGGTTGGTGTAATGGTTACATTGATGGATTCCTACCTAGTTGACTGTGGTTTGAGTTCCAAACCTGGTGGATTAAAACTCATACCAGGCACATGTAAATGCGTGCCCAAGATCCTGAGAGGAGAATGGAGGAGAAGGAATGGTGGTATGCCCCCCACCCCATGACTTCTCGCTTTCTGTCTTGCTGTCTCTGTCTCTTGGGAGAGCGCATACCTCCATAGCAAAAATCTCTCTCAAAAAAATATTGTTTCCCAGGCCGGCTCCTTAGTGCAGTGGCTTGAAGAACATACAGGGTGCAAGTGGGTGCATACCCAATACCTTGATGGGAAGGACAAATGGAAAGAATTTCTGCATAACCATGCCCCACAGGGTGGGGGCTTTCTCTCTCTCTTGCTCTCCCTCTTTTGCTCTCACTCTCACTGTCCCTGGCAAGTGCACAAGTCCTCTAGTTTTAAAAAAAAAGAAATAGAAGTTTCATGGTCACATTAGTCACATTTCAAGTTATGGGGAGCAGTAATAGAAGTGGGGCGCTTCCTACTTCTCCCTTCTTTTATTTCCCTTGTATGTTGCTGAAGAAAGCGGGAGGACAGCTAGGAACTTTTCAGTCTTGTCTGACCATTACGTTGAACTGCAGTGCAGAAGAGAATCCCTTTTTTTTGAGAGATTTTCACTGTAGGGCGCGTGCGCTCGCCAGACAGACAGAGAGAGACATAGAGACAGAAAGCGAAAAATCACCCCCCAGGGGGGATGGTCACGCTGCAATCCCTTCTCCTCCATTCTCCTCTCGGGATCTTGGGCACGCATGCACTCGCGCCCGTCGTGAGTTTTTAGCCACCGGGTCCGGGACACGAACCGTGGTCGACTACGTGGGAATCCAGCGACATAGCCATTACGCTAACTGCTGGTTCCCGAGAATCCCTTTTTTGTAGACATTTTACACACCAGAAACAGATTATTATTGACCAGTGACTTGTAATGTGTGGAAATGAAGGAAGCCGGGCATTTCGTTTGTCCTGTTACATCATCTCTTGGGGGTTCGTCCTAATCATTATGGTTTTAGATAGAGCCTCAGGACTCAGTTCTGGAACTTCCTTATTTTCAGTGTATTTTTTAAATATCGCTAGTGTCAGAAGTCTTTCCTGATTTTAAAAGACCTCAGTGGTGTCTCACTGACCATAAGGACTTTACGTGACGGGGTCTCTAACAGAAGGCCTCCACGTCAGAGGGAAAAACTGACCTACTCGCCTAGGGTCAGTGTTAGGTGCATGTAAATAAGGCTGACAAAAAGGCCAGGTTAGTATGCAAAAAGCCAGATTGAATACAAGGTCAAACAAAAATGTGGAACTCAAAGCTGTTAGGGGTATGGGCTGGCAGGATCCCACATGGCCTACTGCTGTGGGATTCAAGGACCCAGCATTTTAGAAGCATTAGGGGTATGGGCTGGCAGGATCCCACATGGTGTACTGCAGTGGGATTCAAGGACCCAGCAGCTTAGAGGCCTGGCCATCCTTCATGGGGGATACTTTCTCATTCTTCCTTTCTTCTTTAACAAATTTAAAAAAAAAAAAAAGAGGCCTTTTTTTGATTTTTTTTTTTGGCTATAGGGCATGTGTGCTAGCCAGAAAGACAGAGAGACAGAAAGGGAAAATCACCCCCTAGGAGTGATGGCCATGCCACAATCCCTTCTCCTCTATTCTCTCGGGATCTTGGGCACGCATGCACACGTGCCCAGCGTGAGTTTAAGCCACCAGGTCCGGGATGCGAACCACGGTTGACTACGTGGGAGTCCAGTGACATAGTCATTATGCTAACTGCTGGTCCTTCTAATTTTTATTTATTTATTTTTTTGAAATTGCCAAAGGATGGCATGTGCTTACCAGAGAGAGGCAGAGAGCAAAGGAGAGGGAGCGAGCACTGCCGTGGGACATGGCCATACCATCATACCTTCTCTCCCTTTCTCCTTCCTTTCAGGATTGTGGGTACTCACCCACACCCACCCTGCTTGTTTTTGAAGCTGTCAGGTCTGGGACTGGAACTGTGCAGTTGGCCCTGTGGGATCCAGTTTCTTTAACCACCACGCCACAGACTGGCCCTAACTAAATCTACTTAAGGGGCCTTTTGTAACTTGTTTAATGAAACATTTTAAACTTCATTTTTGTAAGTTTAATACTTAATTTTTGTTTTTAAAGTCTTCAGGTGCTTAACTGCTGGTTTGACTTACATAAATCATTTTCATATTTAATCTTAAATCTTCCTAAGCTTTCATATTGGGCCATCTCCATAGTGTAGTGCCAATGCACAGTGCTTATGTGAAGCTAGGTCCATGTGGCATTTGCTGTTCGAATCCCCTGCCTGGTCAGCCTGAAGCATGCATGGTGCATGTGTGAATGCCCAAGGAGGAAGAGTGGGTTGGAGGTTTGGAGGAAGGGGGAATGTGCCGAGCACACGCTCTGTTGTGAATAACGAAAATATTTATCGTGTCTGCTCAGTGAGGAAATGGTTATGTCATTGCAGCCTGTATTTGGATTTACCGATTGAATGTGCAGGGCAGAGATGTAAAGTCTGTAGCTATAAATTCAGAGACTTTTTTGCTGTCCCTGTCTGCTTGGCTAAGCCCTTTTTAGTAGTAACAACATCATAAACATGAAAAAAAAAATTCAGGGAGTATGATGATGATCGTGTAATTGTCCTAGAACTTGTGTCAAAATGTTTTCCAAGTCAGACAAGTCTAACCGCTTCCCGTCTTTCCCCAGCTGTATCAACTTCGAGTACTTTTCATAACGCATCCTGTTTTCTGTTAGGGTTCATTTATTTATTAGGTATTTATTTGATATCTCATTGGAGTTTATGCATTCAGAATTGTCTTCCTCCTGAGGCAGGTTCTAAGGTTGTTCTTAGCACAGCGATAAATCGGCTGGTCTTGGAAATGAAGTTATTTTAAGTGAAGTCTGCAGGAATTAAACTACTCATTGCAGGGCAGTTGCAAGGGTCTTGTTTTAAATATATAGTACCTGGTATTGACCATCTCATTTACCTGGACCATCAACGTATTATTATCGTTTTTCCCTGTACAGAAGGGCGGAATCTCTCCAGATGTCTTCCACCAATGCCATCGAAGTTTTTATCCCGATGTCACAACGAAACACCAATGGCCTGCCCGGGATGACGACGGCCGACCTGAAGAGCACGGCTGAAGGAGCTGTGCTGAGTTTCCACAATGTCTGTTACCGAGTGAAAGTGAAGAGCGGCTTTCTGTTTAATCGGAAAACAGTTGAAAAAGAAATACTATCGAATATCAAGTATGTTCCTGGGCTTTTCCAATAACAGATAGCTTTACCAAACTGCAGTGAACTTACAGGTTTTGTCTGCTACCAGTTGAGCGAGTACGCACGTCTGTGGGCAAGTCTTTGTGTACAGATACAGACACACTTTCTTCTGGCTAGAGATCGACTGGCTCATGCGCTAAGTATATGTTTAACTTCCAAGGAACTACCCAACATTTTTTCCCTTTTGTAATTTATTTCATTTAATTAATTTTAAGTTTTGCAAAAGGGCACCTATGCCCACCAGAGAGAGACAGAGAAAAAGTGAGAGAATAAGTCACCAGGTCTGAGACTCAAACGGCTGTCAGCCATGTGGGAGTCCAGTGCCTTAACCACCATCCTACCTGCTGGTCCTAGAACTGAACTGCCAGACTTTAAAGATGGTTCTACCATGCACATTAGCTCGGATTTGAGAAACCGATCAATGAATGTGTCACTTGTTTTTTTTTTTTTTTTTCCTGGATAAATCCTTTGGTTTGATTGAAAGAGACAAGAGACCTGGCTAGATGAATCACAGGGAATATCATTATGACCTGTGAGCTTTTTTTTTTTTTTCCCATGACTAAGTGGGCTTTATTGGCATGGGGCAGGCTCAGTCCTTGGCAGATGCTTTGCGCATGGCGGCCAGCACGTTTCTCAGCTCCTCGCTCTTCCTCTTGGCAGGGATGTGCGTGCCCACCCGCTTCTTGATGAACTTGAGCGCGCGCTTGTCCTTGGACACCTTGAGCAGCTCCATGGCGCGCCGCCCGTAGGGGGCGAAGCCGCGCACCTCCCGGATCATTTCGCGCACGAACTTGGTGTGCTTGGTGAGGCGCCCACGGCGGCGGCTGTGCCTCGGCTTGCTCACGTTCTTGGTCACTTTGTGGCCCTTGTTGAGGCCCACGGCCATGGGGTACCGCAGAGCCATGGCTGCGGCTCTCCAGTGACTACTGAGGCAGAAGGGCCAGCGCCGCGCGGGACCTGAGCTTCAGTTTTCTAGTGTGTGAAGAAAGCCTGCTGATGGACATTCTGAGTCGGGCATTTTTTCCATGCGTATATTGTGAAAGTACTTTGTTTCTCTCTTCCTCTTTTCCTTGTCTTTTTTTTTTTTTTTTTTTTTTTTTTTTTTTTTTTTTTTTTTTTTAAATGCCAGGGCAGCAGGTGTCATGGTGGTAAAGGTGCTGGACTTCCACGTGGCTGATGGTGGTGTGAGTCCCAGACTAGGTGGCTTGAAAACCACACTGAGCACATGTGTATGCGTGCCCAGAGTACCAGGAGGAGAAAGGATTGTGTGGCCATCCTTCTGGGGGCTGATTGCTCACTGTCCTCTCTTTGTCCCCCTCTCTGTGGTGGATGCACAAGCCCTGGGGGGGAAAATTGTCGGAGGATGCCCTCACAAGGAAGAGAGGGAGAAAAGCGCCCTCCACTGGGGTGCAGTCACGCCGCAATCCTTTTTCCTTCATTTCTCCATTCCATTGCGATCCTGGGCGTGCAGACATACCCAGAGTGTTTTTCAAGCTTCTGGGGCTAGATTTGAACCATGGTTGGCCACGTGGGAGCAGGCTTCTGACGCATAACTATTAACTGCTACACTAGCGGGCCAGCCTAGTTTTTAAAATACATCTGTTTTAAATGCGTGACTACTTTTATAGTAGTGTATAATCATTAACAGTTTATATTATATTGGTACACATGCACACATGCCTGATAGATTTTCTTTCTTTTTAATTTGCTATAAGGTGTGTACCCCACTGGGGAGAGAGAGAGGAACAATGAGAAATCATCCCCCTCAGGGTGATGGCCAAGGTGCAGTCCCTTCTCTGTTCTCCTTTTGGGATTTTGGCATGCACACACAGGTGTCTGGTATGTTTTTCAAGTGACTGGGTCCAGGACTTGGAACTGTGGAGTCAGCCTTGTGGGATCGAGTGCCTTAAACTCTGTGCTATCTCCTGGCCCCGTATTTTTTTCTTTTTCTAAATTAATTAATTAATTCTAATTTGACCAGAGAGGGACAGAGCGAGAGCAAGAGAAAGAGTGAAAGAGAGAAAGCAAGCCATCAGGTCCGGGACTCGAACTGTGATTGTGATAGGCAATGAGGGAGTCCAGTGCCCTGAAGCACCATGCCACCTGCTGGCTCTGGCCCTATATTTTTTCCTAATATCTAGAGAATGAGGCCAACTCTTCCCCTCCAGTAGCGCAGCGTGTGAGTTTGGGATTGCTCAGGTTAGCATGACCTGTGTTGTTTTGCTAATTGGGAGAGTATTTACCCCTGCACAAAGCTATCGACCTTCCCCACCAACCCAGGCTGGAGGGGTGGCTATGAAAGGTCCCACTGGCCAGGTGTGGCCGCAGACCTATGAGGAATCAGATGCTTCTCATGCTTTCTTTAGGATGAGAGACTGTGGTCCTTCTCGTTACTAGCAGGCAGCTCCTCCCCTCAGAGAGCTGGGTAATGACAAGATAGGGAGGAGAAGCTGGTGGGGGGGTGTGGGAGAGAAAGACCCGGGATTTGAGGCTTGATAGGGCCCGTGGTGTGAGCCGCTCTGCAGGATTCCACCTTCTCCATTTAGCAGTACCTCTTGTCATGGCTGCTTCGTGTCCCCACCTCCCTGTCTCCACTTAGCTAAGAAACCGTGATGAAGATAATAAGAAACGTGCGGGGGAACCAGCAGTCAGCGTAATGGCTATGTCGCTGGACTCCCACGTAGTTGACCGCGGTTCGTGTCCCGGACCTGGTGGCTTAAAACTCACGCCGGGCGTGTGTGCGTGCGTGCCCAAGATCCCGAGAGGAGAATGGAGGAGAAGGGATTGCGGCGTGACCATCCCCCCTGGGGGGTGATTTCTCACTTTCTGTCTCTATGTCTCTCTCTGTCTGTCTGGCAAGCGCACGTGCCCTATAGCGAAAACCTCTCCAAAAAACCAAAAAGAAACATGCGGATGCAAAGCTCTTTCCTTTCGCTGTATGCCCAGATAGAATGGATTTCGAGAGGAGAATGGAGGAGAAGGGATTGCGGCGTGACCATCCCCCCTGGGGGGTGATTTCTCACTTTCTGTCTCTATGTCTCTCTCTGTCTGTCTGGCAAGCGCACGTGCCCTATAGCGAAAACCTCTCCAAAAAACCAAAAAGAAACATGCGGATGCAAAGCTCTTTCCTTTCGCTGTATGCCCAGATAGAATGGATTTCTGAAAAGCAGGCAAGCTTTTTTTTTTTTTTAAAGAATCATTTTACTTAATTTTATTTATTTATTTATTTTAACTTGACCAGAGAAGGGCAGAGTGAGAGAGAGACAGAAAGTGAGAAAGCAAGCCACCAGGTCCGGGGCTCGAACTGGGGTTGCCCATGCGGGAGTCCAGCGCCGGCCATGTGGGAGTCCAGCGCCCTTATCCATCAAGCTACTTGCCGGCCCCAGGGCAAGCTTTTTTGTGAAACTTCATAATCCTGCAAATGTCGGTCACTTCAGATTTTGTGTTGGTTTCAGGAAACCAGAGCACTTTCCATTGCATTGTTGTATTGTGAGAGGAGTGAAAGACACAATGGAAACTCCTACCTTTTTTTACGTTTTTGCCGTAGGACTTGTGTGCTGGCCCAAGAGACGTAGAAAAAGACAGTGAGAGAGAAAGTGAGAAATCACCCTCCCCTTCTCCATTCTCCTGGGATTTGGGACACACAGGCACACACTTGGTGTGATTTTCAAGTTGCCGGGTCTGGTACTTACACCATGGTCAGCCATGTGGGAGTGCAGCACTTTGACCACCGTGCCACCTGCTTGCCCCTCCCCTAACTCTTAATTGGGGAGTCAAGGCATGGAAATTGAGCACAGGAAGTTCTATAGGCGTGATGAGAGGGGGGCATACTGCAAACAATGGGAAGGGCGTTGACCTCTCTGCAAAAACCCAGCAAGGCCAGAGGGTTGACTGCCAGCTGCTGAGCTGTAACAGGTGTGGCGCAGATCCTTCAGGTGGGTTTGATCTCACGTATGCAGCGTCCAGTGGGTGTGGACCACTGCTGCTGCTGCGGCGGAGGAAGGTCCTGGGGGTGGTGGCAGTGTGACACAGTCCTGGCTGGAAGCTTTTACAGCACCCTGAGGGAGACCTCTCTGCACGCAGGTACTGTAAAGCAGTAAACAGGGCGGGGACCGGGTTTGGAAGGGTAACAGGGTGAAGGATGGGGTGGGGAGACCAGGTGCGTGTAGGCTGGAGTCTAGAACAGGGGTCAGCAGACTCTTACTTCCAACTCTATGGGCTTCTTGTCCGTGTTGCTCCACTGCTGGGAAAGGCGCCATTGGTGGTCTTGAAGGAGTGGGCTGAGTTCCATTCTAGTCCCAGGGTTTATGGACACAGGTGACCAGCTGCAGTGTGCTGACCCCTGGACTAGAATCCAAACTGCAGGAGGGTCTCAGCTCGATCCCGTGTCCTAGAAGAGTATCTGGTAGATACACAGGAGGCACGTGATCTAGTTACACTGAACACGTGAGGCCGGGCTAGCCGCGGCTCCCCCTTGGAACTCTCATTATTTGTCACTGTGCGTTATCGTCGCCTCTAAGGCTAGGGCTTAGTGTCAAAATAAGTCAGACTCTGGGACTTTTAAGACTTTTTATCATCGCACAGAACATTTTTCAGAGAAAGCACTCCTGGGGCATGGCCATGCTGCAATCTCTTCTCCATTCTCCTCTTAGGAGAGTGACGCCCTGAGCCCAGCGTGTTTCTCATACTGTGGGTCTGGGTCTCAACCACAGTCTGCCACATGAGACCCAGCTGCCTCACCACCACGCCACCAACTTGGCCCAGAGAAGCTTATTTATTTATTTTTTGTAGAGACAGACAGAAAGTGAGAAATCACCCCCCAGTGGGGGATGGCCACGCTGCAATCCCTTCTCCTTCATCCTCCTCTTGAGATCTTGGGCACGCACGCACACGTGCCTGGCGTGAGTTTAAGCCACCATGTCCAGGACTCAAACCATGGTTGACTACATGGAAGTCCAGCGACATAGACATTATGCTATCTGCTGGTCCCATAAGAAGCTTATTTATGGTCACTTGAGAATGCAGAAGACACTGCTAGGTGCTATAGATAAATTAATGTGCCATGAAGGTTGACCCAGTCACTCCCGTGTCTACACTGGGGGAAGGCCGCTGAAGAGCGACGGATGTCCGTGTCACAGCTTGCCCTGTTTCCCTCCCTGTCCCTGTTGCTTGTCTGCCGTCGCAGTAAGAGGTGCCTCAGTGACTAAGCAAAGCCACAGCCACGTTTTTTTCAGAGGTTTTTTTTTGCTTTAGGGCGTGTGCGCTCGCCAGACAGACAGAGACATAGAGACAAAAAGTGAGAAATCACCCCCCTAGAGGGGATGGTCACGCCACAATCCCTTCTCCATTCTCCTCTCAGGATCTTGGGCATGCACGCACACACACCCGGCGTGAGTTTTAAGCCACCGGGTCCGGGACGCGAACCGCTGTCGACTACGTGGGAGTCCAGCGACATAGCCATTACACTAACTGCTGGTTCCCAGCCACAGCCACGTTTCATCCCAGCGTCCCGCAGCCACTCTAGAGTCTAGTTCAAGTACAACAGGCGGCCAGTGCTGAGGGCTGCATCTTTACGTTTGTCACTCAACGGCAATTGTGTAACCACAGCAGCGGCCTCTGTAGTGATCGTTATCTGAGAACGAAATAGCCTATTCTATTTGCATTTTTACTATTTTTTCTATGGAATACATTTTGACTAATTACTAACTTTTTAAAGTTTATTTCTTCTATGAGCAAGAGACAGAGAGAGGCAGCACACCCACACAGGGCCTCAATGTTGCGATCCACCCCCATCTTCAGCCAGCCCCACTGTGTGCAGCCCACTGTGTGCTGAGAGTACTCAGGAGGTCTTGATATGAACTCGGAAGCTCCCAGTTAAACCAGCCTAGCTGCATCGTGTTTTACCACTGCTTCCCTGTCAAGCCCCTCCACTTACCAGTTTAACTTTCTAAAGGGAGACCCAGCCTGGTGAAAGGGCTGAGCCAGGCCTGCATTCCAGCATGCTAGTGTGACTGCTGTCACCCTGCCCCGTTACTCTGGGGAAAAAACGAATCATTTGCCATCTTCATGAACCTCCGCATAGTTAATACTGCTCTGACTTTTCCCACCTTCCTATTCTATCTGAATACTTGCTGCCCTCAGTCACTGAGTTTGTTTGAAACATGCCGAGCTGGCTCTGTGGCCTGGTGGTTAAAGCAGCGGGATGCCACATGGCCTCCAGCAGCCTGAGAAACACACAGGACACGTGAACTTGTGTGCCCAGAACCCTGAGAAGAGGGAGAGATGGAGGAGAAGGGATTGCAGCATGCCTGTTCCCCATGGTGGTGTGGTGCTTTCTCCTCTCACCCCCTCTCTGCCCCTCTGACAAGTACATGCAGCCTCTAGGAACATACAGGAACATGCTTATGTGCATACATGTCTACTTCCTGATAGGACGTTCCCTTCCAAGGTGCCGTCTCCAAAGTTTGCCGGTTCACTTATCTGACTCTTACCAAGGAAGAAAATGACAGATCTTGAGTGTCTATGTTTTGCTTTACTAAGTAGACTTAGGCCTTTTCTGGAGAGTTAAGAATGGGTGATGTTGGGAACCAGCAGTTAGCGTAATGGCTATGTCGCTGGACTCCCACGTAGTCGACCGTGGTTCGCGTCTTGGACCCGGTGGCTTAAATCTCACGCCGGGCGCGTGTGCGTGCGTGCCCAAGATCCCGAGAGGAGAATGGAGGAGAAGGGATTGCGGCGTGACCATCCCCCCTGGGGGGTGATTTCTCGCTTTCTGTCTCTATGTCTCTGTCTGTCTGGCGAGCGCACGCGCCCTATAGCAAAAACCTCTCCAAAAAAAAAAAAAATAAGAATGGGGGATGTTTACTTTTTAATCCTCCGACGTGCTTTCTTCAGGCCTTTGGATTTCTATTTAAGATACTGTTTCTTGGTCTGTTAGAATTTAGAAGTGAGAAGACCACTACAGCCCATGGGATCTGAGAGTCCTGCATTCATGTTTCTTCTGACCGTGTGTCAAAAATATGTGTACTGGGACCAGCAAATGGTGTAATGGTTACGTTGCTGGACTCACACGTAGTCGACCATGGTTCAAGTCCTGGACTCGGTGGCTTAAAACACACTGGGCATGTGTGCATGCGTGCCTAAGATCCTGAGAGAAGAATGAAGGAGAAGGGATTGTGGCATGGCCATATGACTATCCTCCTGGGGGATGAGATTTCTCATATACTGTCTCTGTCTCTTTGGCAAGCATACATGCCCTATGGTAAAAAATCTCTGTCTCCAAAAAAAACTACACGTACTTGGGGCCAGCAGATGGTGTTAATGGTTACGTCTCTGGGCTTCCACATGGCTAACCATGGTTTGAGTCCTGGACCTGGTTCCCTCTTTTCCTTGTCAGGGCATACATTCTAAGTCAAAAATCTCTTTTAAAAAAATACATATACTTGAAAAATAATAAAAACATACAGTGTAACAATTATTTACATATCATTTACATGGTTTGGGGTGATATAGGAATGATTGAAAGTATATATGAGGATGTGCACGTTACATGCAAATACTATACACCATTTTGTATAAGGGACTTAAGCTACTATAGACTGCAGTGTCCCCTGGAGGCCAGCTACTATGGCTTGTAGTGTCTCTTGGAGGTCTGCAACCAGTCCTCTTCAGAGAGACATGGGACTGCCCAGAACAGTTTTGTATAGTCAGTGGCTTGATATTCATTTCCTGTAAATTTTCTTAATACGCTGACAACTGAGTATAGATTGAGTATATCCTTTATCCAAAATGCTGGAGAATATAAGTGTTTCTTGAAATTTTTTCAGATTTTGGAATATTTGCATAGACACGATGAGCTTAGAGAACTCCTGAGTACATGGAGCATGCTCTTGCTTGCGATTGGGGAATGGCTGGAGCTGGGGTTGGAACATGGCATTAGGACCTTGTTGAAGGTGCTGTGTGTGTGTGTGACTCATGGACAAAGCAGACTTCAGAAAAGGTTTTTGGTTTTGGAGCCTTTCAGATTCCAGGTTTTCAGAGTAGGAATATGCTAACCTTGTACCGATAGTTTTTTTTTTTTTCCTTTTTAGTAATTTTTTTTTTAAGAATCATTTATTTGTTATTATTTCAATTTGACCAGAGCAAGATGGAGAGAGAGGAAGAGAGAGAGAAAGCAGGCCACCAGGTCTTGGACTCAAATGGTGGACAGCTATGTGTGAGTCCAGCGTCTAAGCATCACACCACCTACCGACCTCAGTAATTTTAAACATCGTGGCAATAGTTTTTTTATTTTTACTTTTTGCCAGAGAGGGTATATGTCCTTGCCAGAAAGAGAGAAATCCTTGCATCGTTCCCTCCTTGGGGATGTTGGGAACTTATACTGAAGCACGGCGTATTCCTCAGGTCTCTGCTTCTGGGAGTTGAACCGTCTGCTCGTCCGTATGGGATGCATCCACCTGAACCACCACACCATGGACTGGCCTTTGTGACAGTTTAAAGGACAGCTGTCAGCATTAGCCAGGCCAGCCCTGTAAGAGAGGATGTTTAAAGGACAGCTGTCAGCATTAGCCAGGCTGGCCCTGCTGTAAGAGAGGACGCATTGTGACTGTAACTTGCATCCTGATGATACAGGGAGGGCTTTTTTTGTTTTGCTTTGTTTTCCTCTGGGTCTGGGACATGAACCTCGGTTGACATAGCCATTATGCTAACTGCTGGTTCCCAAGGGAGTGCTTTTTTTGTTTTGTTTTGTTTTTCTTTTTTTCCTGGATGATGGGAGGGACTAGATGTTGTTCCTTAGCCCTTTTGTACAATTTGCATAGATTAGGGACTAAGGATGTTTTACTCCACACTTAAAACAGAGTGGTTCTAATCAACAGTGGTCCTCTTGATTGCGGTTGCAGAATGCCCGTGCTACAGAAATACCCGCCAGTGATTGAGGAATGAGTCTACGTTGTCTTAAGCTGTTATTTGATTTTTACACTTTTTTTGTTTTTGAGAGGTTTTTGCTATACAGCATGTGTGCTCAACAGAAAGAGAGACAGAGAGACAGCAAGCGAGAAATCATCCCCCGGGGGTGATGACCACACCACCATCCCTTCTCCACCATTCTCCTCTCGGGATCTTGGGCACACATGCTCATATACGCGGCATGAGTTTTATGCCACTGGGTCCGGGACTCAAACCGTGAACAGCGCCATGGGAGTCCAGTGACGTAGCCATTGCCCCAACTGCTGGTCCTGATTTTTACACTTTGAAGCCCACGTAAAGCAACTTCATGTATATCTTCACTTATACTAGTCTTCACTTTGTAATTTTATTATTCTTCTGTGAGAGTATTCAGTGCAGAGCCTAAATGAACAGGACACTGTTTACAGTAGAAGAGCAGTAAGCCTGGATGTTTTTGTATTTGCAGTGGGATCATGAAACCCGGCCTCAATGCCATTCTGGGACCCACAGGTGGAGGCAAATCTTCGTGAGTATTCCAGTATAAGTCCGCCTTTTCTGTGCGGTGTTGGTATGCCTTGGAGCAGGGATTTTTTTTGTGCATTGACTGTTCAGCTCTGGTCAGCTTCTAGCTGCTCTGGGGAACGTGTGGTCGTGCTAGCCTGTGGTTCTGTCTCAGGGACCTCAGTACTAGGACATGATAAGCTGATTGGCGCATAGCAGCTGGCCATGTTATAAGCTAATGGGGAGGGAGAGAAAGGGCATAATATTAAAAGTCGGACGTTGGGGAACCAGCAGTTAGCATAATGGCTGTCACTGGACTCCCATGTAGTCGACCGCGGTTCGCGTCCCGGACCCGGTGGCTTAAAACCCACGCTGGGTGCGTGTGCATGCGTGCTCAAGATCCCTAGAGGAGAATAGAGGAGAAGGGATTGCGGCGTGGCCATCCCCCATGGGGGGTGATTTCTCGCTTTCTGTCTCTGTCTCTCTCTGTCTGTCTGGCGAGCGCATG